ACGATTACTGCTTGATGGAGCATTTGACTGCATATTCTACATTTTGGTGTGTTGCTCTGGAACTTTAATTTCAAGTAAAGATCCTGGTTGTAAAGAACATTGAATTACAGGAATACACAGTATGTCCAGGAATGTATGGCCATACAGCGAGGGAAACAAAATCAAACTTGAATCCAAGGGAAACATCCCATTTTATATATAATTTACATACTAATTATAATGTATTTAGGAATGTATTTGTGTTGTGATAATCATGATCAGTCCTAACATGTTAGTGTTCTTCTCTCTTGTTATTTTTCTGTTTCAGGTATAGCATCTCTTACATTCCATTTGCCAGGTAAGACAACATGATTTATGTTCTGTCTACATAGACCTTGATGTGATGTGCATGTTCTTTCTGTTGTGTATTGTGTAGTTGTGCTTTTGTAGATTTAGAGCTACCGTTTATATCTGACTCCTGTCTATAAATGTCTCTATACACACACAACAAACTGGAGAAAATATTTCCAGTGCCCCTCCAATGAAAACATGTTTTGATTTACCTCTTAACACGGTTTGCCTCCACCATATGGCTGTAATCCCCCCTACGACCATAGTGTCAGGCAAATGGCAGCTTGTTGTTTCACACTCCTCTGTGCTTTAGCTCTGTGACGCTATTTGCTTTATCCATCATATCTAAATGAAATCATTCCCTGTGGCATAATGCTCTTTCAGACAGATTCACAAAAAGACTTCCCTTTCCAATGAAGCTTTTCATATTACTTGTGATGAGCTTATGTTAAACTCTAAAGGGTTAAAGCAGAATGCCACATTTTGATTAGATCAAGACCTAAATAGGCTGCCGTGCATAAGATATGAGGATGGAAACCTCCTACTTTGTCTCTCTGGCTACATGCTTTATATGTATATTGGATAATGTGCACTATAGAGCCTAAAAGCCTTCAAATCTGTAGAGAATTTTCCTTCAGAGTAAATACACAGATTTCCACTTCTCAAATTGTCCCATATGTTGTACCTCAATGCTTTCTCAAAGCCCAGCGTGAGGTGTGGTGTTGTTTTGTCAGTCCAGCTGTAAGCAGGGTTATGTCTCATTTGGCAAGAGCCCCCATGAACCCCCCCCCCCCCCCCCCTCACCTAAGTGCCCTGTGTATTTGGGCGACCCTATAATCTATCCTGACAGCTGAGAGACGTCCCATAACCACCCAGACTTCCCCCTCCCCCAACCCAAATGCTATCAACAATACCGAGCTGGGACAAAGACCTTTTCCCGTGCTACCCTTCCAAAAAACAAATTCCTATAGAGGAATGCAAATTTGACTGCTTCTGACTTCCAGAGAGTAACTTATTTATTCGTTACTCCTTTGTTATTATAATTTGTAAATTTGTTCAACACATTAATGTCCCTCTCTCCTTAAGCTTCTTACTTCTTAATCCATTTTTCATTTAATTTAGAGTTGATGGTTTATCCCTTTATTGTTTGCCATGTTGTTGCAGTGCAGCACATTTTGATCACATACTTCTATCCCTCTGAGTGACACATTAAGAAGCACCAGACTCTTTCCATACTGACCAGTCGTACCGTGATACCTGGCTCTCCACTTCACCACATGGCCAATGGATTTGATCCTTTAATGTGTTTTACCTTGTTGTCTATTTATACCCTCTCAGACCGAGGCAATAAAATCTGCAGCATGTGCACTTCCCACAGTGCTTTAAGGACTCTATTGCTCTGATATTTAATCAAAAATTGGGGATAAAAAAGTCCCTGAGACAGATATTTTATTCATGTATTATTTCTGGAAATGGATATAGCATCAAGTGATTATTTAAAAACAAACCTCAAGCTGTACGGGATGAAAAACATGAAGATTCTGGTGTGTTTAGTTCATACATCAGAGGGACAAACCTGAGCGTCTGAAGGAACAAGTCTCCTGTCTCTCCCCCGATGCCCCCCCCCTCTCAGACTGCTTATGATCCCCCCTTCTCCTTTTAACCTTGACTGGTACAACACCTCCTCCACCGAAATGTCACCGCCGCTCAAGGCGAAGTCTGCATAGCAACACACCGATAGCAAAAGGGAAACGGTGTGAGGGTGAATGGAGAAGGCAACGACGGCCTACGGTTGCCATGGCGATCGCTCGTATTGCATCATCCCTCACAACAGAGTACCTGGAGACAGGGAGCCCCCATCACTGTGAGCATGTGGTGCTTCCCAGCCAAAACACACTCACTTATTCATGACGAGCCCCACCCAAATCATCGCAACAAAGGGCGGGGGGGCTTTATAAGTCTCTTTTAATTTTGTGCGCATGAAAGAATTTTACCTCGGCTTACATTTTTGAGAATAACATTCCTTCATTTCTGTTTCCTGCCTTTATTTCATTGATTATAATGGTGGCTGTTGCTTAGATTTTGTTTCTTTTCTTTCCTCAGGGATGCTGTGATGAAGCTCTTCACTACCTGTGTGAGTTAGGACCCCACGGCTGTGAAGACTTGTCCTAATATGCAAACTGTAAGAGCAGTGACTGTAAAATATACATCTATGTTGTTTATACATTATATCTCCAGATTTTTACTATGGCTTGTTTCATACTGTGAATTCTTGCTTTTTTTTCAAGTTTAGCTTAAGGTCTGTAACTATATTCACATTATAACCCCTTTTTTCTTTTGATGTGAGAGTGCCTTTTCAATTCTTAATATATTTAAAGATTTCCCTATGTTTCATAAGAATTTTAAACTAAATGAGTACAGGTAAATTATTATGAATTTACAAAGCAAAGTCCTTTACATTATTATAGATATAACCTGTAAATATATCTGACAATGAAAAACCATACAGATATACATTTTGAACTGCAGATTTTGAAATGATCTTCTTACCTCTTGTACACAAACGGAAGCGATCTGTTTTCTTTGCAAGGCTCGGATGTGTAAAGAGGCTCTCGGATGCTCTTCCATGTTTATATTTGATTATTTTCCCTTAGGCCATTGAGGCATTGCTTCACTGATGATGCACTGGGATATATGATATCCACAGCTCTTTTGAGGTTTTTCCAGCTAGAGATTAAAAGCGCAGCTCCTGTCTAGCCTGTTTGTCTGCATGTGTCTTTGAACACACCTGCCCCCCCTTAGCTTGTCAAATTACATTAAAATGGCCTCTTCTGCTTTAAATTAGATTTCCTAGATATGTCCACATTAATTACGCCTTTCTGAGCATTGTGATTTTATGTGACCTAATAACCTAGAATAGCTTGCACCGAGTTCCCTGTATTGCTTCGGCATGATGGCATAGCCTTTGAGGATGTGGTTGTCGTGACAACCTCCCCCGGAAGATTCACAACCTCAGCCTTCCCCCCATCTGTGGTGCAGATGTTCACATTATCCTCATGAGGAGTTGAGGGTTTTCTGAATAAAATGCCATTTAGTCATGGATCTCTCCCCAGATAGTGAACAAATATTTAATAGCATTTATTTATCAATCAAAAGCCACATTAAGGACCAAGCGCACCCTGTTTCCCTGTGTATAAGCAGCAGGTTTACAAGGTTTACCAAACATGCCTCTAGGTTTCTTTGTGCTTCACGCATCTAAGTAACTACATTGCACTTCCTGTTGTTCTGCCCCCACATAGTTTCATTAGATGCGTGTATAATGTGGTGGATTAGCATGGGCAAAATCTCCCCCAGTACTACTTGTTCAACTAACTTGGCACAGACCGAGCAAATCCTTGAGCAATTAATCTGAGGGATAAAATAATTTTGTCGAGCGAAGGGAGCGTGGTTGTTTTGTGATCCCACTATTTTTGGATTACGCTGAAGTTTTAAGGTTGAAGAGAAAGTATCCCTGACCTCTGCAATCTGTTGCAGTCTCCCAACTGTTTTCTTTTTATTACATCTAATCCATTGTTATGTCAGAGAGGAGCGGGATCCCATGCACAACAACCAATGAAACAAAAACAAATCTGAGTCCCCTTCCGATAAATAATCCAGTGCATCATTCATGTCATGAAGAATAAATAACACTCCATTATAATGTTTATTTTTGTATTATTCAAGTGAGTTGGCCTAAATAGATATTTGATTGAAAAATATCAAAAGTTTCCTTTGAAAGTATGAACTGCCATGGGCCCAATGTTACAAATGCCAAATGTTATTTCCTGTTTAAAAAAGCAATTCACTTAAATTCCTAATTGCTATGTGGTTATCATGGAGCAATATAATAATGCACGGTAAATGTTTCATAAACTGTAAAAGATCTACATCCTCAGGCAATTTCAAATAAACAGTCCAAAAAAAATACAGATTTAAATGGAATTATTGATTTTCTCTTACACTCTACAATGAGAGAACAAAATCTCATCAAATCGATTGAGGTACTGTCTACATAAAATGCAGATAACGGGGAAAAGGGAAAGAAATCAATATTGAGACTATTTGTGGCTGGAAGAACAACGGATCATCTATAGACATCAGTTCATTGATATTTGAGACTATATTGACTGAATGAGAGGATTGTGCCAGTGACATGTTTTGTTTGTTCAAGGGCAGAGAGTTATCTTACAGCACCAAGGACCAAACGCTATCTTTATGGCCATATGATATATACATGTACAGAATCTGGGGGTCTTTACAGCCAGGGGGCTACTTTAACCAAAGAATGTGATTTGGAGATGAACATTTTACATTTTTGGGTATTTTCTCAAGTTGTTATGGTTCATATACAGGCAGTGTAAACATGTCTCACCTTGTTCTCAATTGTTTTTCTTGTCTGAATCAGGATAGGGTTATTGCCAAGTAAAGTATTCACTGAAAATGAATTTTCCTTATTTGGTGTATACAATACACTTATTCAGAAGAAATAAAAAAAACAGTAAAGAAAAGAAAATGTGTTAAACGTTATTTAAAAGATTCTTGTAGGCCTACTTATATGTTCAATATAGCTAGTGTGTATATAACTAACTATTAAAGGACATTTATGTAAACGTATACATAGGATTTGAAAGAAGATGCTTAGTATTTTCTGCTTCATTTTCAATGATATTGTCTGCTTGTAGGCTAAATATGAGTCAGTTTAAGAAAACCAGACAAACCTCCAGCTGTGGTTACTTCAGAATATATCAATCCTCTCACTTTAACCAAACACAATTATTTGAAGATGTTTCATATTCTTGGAGGATGATTATCTTTGAATCAATTTGACTGTAATACAGCAGAGCGGCGCTGTGAGGAAAACATGAGGTTGATGTCGCTCATTGCTTCAGGAAGTTATTGGAAATGATGAAATGACATCACCACAGTTTTTTCCTGGCTTTGTTTGGTGCTGCTCCTGACCACGCCTTCCTGCCAGCTCCACCATAAAGCAGCCAGGCCTCAGTGTCTGTTCACCAGTTGAACTCCGGTCAGTGTGGACAACAGGTGCACTGCAGCTCTCTCCGCCTCCCTGCTGGATAATGCCCGCAGAGAAGCGCCGCTCGTCGCTTTGCGCAGCGCTTCCTCATCATCTGCACTTTGTACATTTGTACGTTTTTGTATCCTGATCACTTCCAACCGCAAGAATGCCTTTTCCGCCCCTCAGCCTCCACCAGCGGATCTCCTCTCCTGGCAGGGATCTATTCGGGAAAAAGAAATCCACCGGAGTGCCTGCTCACACTGAGCTCACCAGCAAATCCGGCGGAGAGAAAGCGGGGTCGGATAGGGAGAAGCAATCCTCTCCTTGGACAACCGCGAATTTACGGAATTTGGGCCGTAAAGTCCATCGAGAGAAGAGCAAAAGCCCTACTCAGAAGTCAAGTGGCGGTCAGGAGACCCAGGGAAAAAGCTCCTGGCTGTCGGTGCCCAAACCTCAGGACTCTGAAGGAGTCAGGCGCTCCAGCTCCATGGACTCCGCCAGACACCTCCACGGAAAAGATGAAGGGAAGAAGGAGATCCAGTTTACACTCAGTCTCACCCCTGAAGCCATTCTTGTCATCCAGAAACGAAATCTAGAAAAGCAAATGATGGCAAAGCAGCAGAAGTGTTGCGCATCCGCGGACTTTCGACACCGGCGAGTATTTCCATCCAAAAAGGCGCACGGATCGTCCAATAAGGGCTCCGCTCCTGTGGCCAAAGCGGAGAGCGTAGAGCAGGACATCACCGCCATCGTTAAGATATCTCTTTTGAATGATCAGTACAAGTACGACGATGTAGAGTATGAAGACGAGGACGGAGACGTGGACGAGACTGTTGTTAGGAAATGTAAAGAGTGGCTTAAAGGAGTCGAGAATGCCGCTGCTTTGGGGAAAGTCGACAAACTTTCTGCACTTCCGCACCTTAAAGGATGCTGACACATGACTTTTGAACTTTTTCTTTTACAGAAGAGATGATGGACTCATGACAAGTGTGCACCGATGTAGGCCTGCTGCAATGGCATCTTACATTTGAGTTATGTAAATTAAACGTATGCAAATGAGGGGAGACAATTAACTCCAGTTTAATTCCAAATTGTATGGCTTATTAACTGAAATATGTCAGCAAGAATAACACTCATTGGACGAAATTCACATAGAAAAGTAATAATTTTGACATTGGACACACCATTTTTTTTTTTTTATTGCAGCGTGTGGCACTGTAGCCAACAGTGCTTCTTATGGAATGTTGCTTTGAAGTTTAAAGCCATGGTCAATGTTTGTTAAAGTTAGAACTGAACACCTTAATATCCTCGTCCTTTGCACATGGTTTTGTTTTCAGTGGATTGGCAGAGGGGTTTGCGTAAAGGGACGTGGAACGGTTCCTTTGTGTGGGTGAACAATACGCTGTCAACAACAGCTTTATGCGCCTGCTGCTGAAACCAAACTGGACTGTTTATTTTTCCTCTAATCACAGAGGGTTATATCCTTTTTATGGATTTATCATTGATGTACAGTATTTAATATTTACTAAATATTTGTACTGTCAAACGTTTTCTCAGCTGATGATTTTATGCCATTTGAAGTAAAAAATGTCTTTTTTAAATTATGCAAGTGTCTCTGACCCGTTTGAATATTTTAAAAGCTGATTGTGTTGGATAATTACCTTACATGTCGCTGATTTGCAGTCACTCAGATTTCTTTGACACTGCTGGCCAGTTCCCAGACTGTATGTTAAAGGCTCTTTTGTTGCCACTGTTGCTACCTGAGGCCATTTGGGCATTAGTGATGTAAGCTTCTTAGATTTCATGTTAAGCAGGCTGACCAGTGCACTACAGTGGGGCCCAGGTACATGATCCCTTCAGGAAATTACTTCCAGTTTTCTTTACCTTTGTCCTATTAAACAAAACAATGCATGTAGTTACTAAACATAAATAGTGTTGGTGCGAAATATCTGGGAGATAAGTTCACCCTAAGTGCCAGAACGACATGGTTTGCAGCAAAGGTATTCCCAGTTTGAATTGAGGGCATAATCCCACTGAGCTACAAGATCTATGTTTTAGTTCTATAAGAGGTAACTAACTTTGTGTACTGCTCAGCAAGAAACAGCTGGTCCGAAATCAATTTGAGTGCTTTAAAAACAAATATGCCCTGTTTTGTTGGCAAGAAAACAAAATAAACCAGAGTTAATGAGAAATTAAGCATTAAAGACACGTTTGGCTTCTTTGATGGTTCTCAGCGGTCTATTGTATTGACAATTAAATGGAAATTTAAAGTAAACTGTGATCCCTTCTAGCTTTGGACACAAATGAAATCTTCATGCAGGGTCACAAACATATTTCAAATATTTGTGGTTGTGTGTACAGAGTGAAGGCTCTCTGCAATAAGGCTTTACCATTGTTCTCCATCACCTGGTAACCAAAGTTTGTGGTAGACTTTAAAGCCCCAAATTGGACGGCGGAGTGTAACCTCTAAGACACTACAGTGTTTCTGAAAAGCCCACACGCCGACAGCTGGTAAGACATTCTTGAAAAATGACTTTTATGCTCCTATAACATTGCAATTTAATATCATTTTGGAATTTGACGCCAACAATCTTTTTTCCAAAGGTATAATCAACAGACTTGCCATGCAATATGCAAGGACCTTCACTAACCAAGCCTTCTTCCTTCTCTTTCGAATGCACACTTACTACCTGTTGGTGTCGGAAAGGTATTTTAAATAACCCACTTATCAGCACTGAGTTTTTATTTTATTACCATGGTAATTGACATTTAAAACATCTATGGAGTAGTTAATTAGTTGTCAAATATGTGTCTTTCCATTGTGTTCTAGCACATGACATTACAGATCTCACATGTGAGTGAAGAACAAGCTGCCAGAATAAAGCATCTTGTCCTGAATAGATGTTCCCATTCAGTGTCACAAAGTGGTTTAATTGTTGCATGTCACAGTCTGAGATCATGGCTGGACCAGTACAGTGTGTACCAGGACCCGTCCGCCTCTCCCGTGATGATATTATCAACAGGCTTGGTGTCCAAAGGTTGTGTCATCCCTCTCTATTGTGTCATTTCAATTGTGCCCTTGTTTATGTGCCTCTCTCTGGTATTCATTGCTGTCTGGTGTGTGCCTCAAGCTGAGCTATTCATGTCTGTCCTGGGGGTGAGAGCTGCATTATTGCGTCTGAAGTAGCTGAAATACTTGTGTTCAACGGGGAAAAGTAGAAATCAAAGAAGCAGGTTGACTTGGTTACAGGTGGAAACACTTTCTTTCAAGGTCACAAACTGCTTCTGTTTACACCTGCAGCATCTGATAGCAATGTCTCTGGGTAAAAATAAGCTTCTGTCCACCTCACTGCAGTATCATGATAGCAGTGTGATAGCAGAGTGTGCATTATGCTCCTCTTATTTATAGTGACAGGGAGCGCAGATGGATGCTGCCTCCGCCCTGTCACTGACACTTTGCACACATCACTGCAGGTCCCTCTGCTCTGCCACAACAGTATTACTGTGGCAACGGAACTGATCAATCCCTGCGTTTCCAGCTGCTTTTGTGAGAAAAGACAAAACAGACACTTCCTGCACAGACTCGGCCCATAAACTTCAGTAATGTGGTCATTCAGTGGCAGCCTGTTGAGAACAAGGCTTTTCCCAGAGACAGGGCGACCTCAGAGAGAACACTTAGATCACAGAGTGCCGTCCTCCCTTTAAAGCTCAAGCATGGTTTATTCTTCATTTAAGGATAATAAGAAGGGAGCATGCAGCTCCATGTTATGCATTTAATCTGCTTTGGCATGTTACTCCCATTAGCCTTGCATTCCTTGTTACCATGCCATTTTACATTCCTTTGCATCTTATATTTTCTCTTAATTCGTTCGGACAAGTTACCTCTTGCCTTAAACAGTATTAGTTGAAATCTGTAGTTCTCTAAAACCTTCCTCTGCAACATCTGTTGGGTATCAGTCCTCATCCGGATTAAAGGGAGAGCCCTACAAAATTGGTTTCTAGACACATGCCGGAAAGAGCTTTGTGGGAGAGGAGGTGGGCATATTCCTCCTGCGTAGCTATTTTTTCTTTTGCTGGATCTTGCACAAACACAATGTCAGGCTGGTGTGTGTGTGGGAGGTTGCTTTTGGCGGACGAGGGGGATTACCAAAAATGCATTCTTATTTTTTAATCTTCAGGCAAGCTGACTGATTCACTCCCACAGCATCTAAATTGGGTTTTACTGTGGATAGGCAGGGGATGGAGTGAAAGCCCAGCCCTGGAGGAGGAAGGCAATGCATGATGGAAGTCCAGACCCGGACCAAGAGGCCAAGGCCCGGCATCAGGCTCAGCTGGAGCAGGTTGATACACACTATAGGATAAAATGTTTGTGACACTTTTATAGGCATTTTTTGCTGCTAGTTATAGCACAATAGTGCTGTGAAAAACATGCTTGTTGATAAATTATCAATAGTTTCTTCATCTCCCAATAATACTGAAGCACAGTAGTGCCTCCATATTTAGGTGGTGCTTCCTTTTAGCTCACTTCCCCTCAGTTTGTGTCCTTCCTTATCTTGTCTATCCTCCAGCGCCATCTAGAGGCCTACAGGAACATGCACCGCCTCAGAAATGCTCTCTGTCGCCGCTATGCTGCCCTGCTCTCAGACAAGTCAGCTCCCAGAGAGCACTGCTGCAGCAGAGAGAAGAGGCAGCCAGAGGCAAGTCAGAGAGTGAGGCTCAGCAGGTAAAGCATAACATCGTGTAACAAAACTCAGTGCTTTATTTTAGTCTTGAATTATCATAACAACTCTGTTGTTCGAGTAAAGATTATGTAATTAATATCGTGGCTGTCCCCGCCATGTTGAACTGTTTTCCATCTCAGATTTTGTGTCTGAACTTGTGTGGTAGTTTCATTATACATGTTTAGAATCACTCGCGTAGACAATTATAATAAAATAATGAATCTAATAAAAGTCTTAATGTTAAGATTTTAACCTAAGACACAGGTAAATGTCAAGCATTAAAGTAGGACAAGCATAACTTAATTATTCTACTTTTTTTAATAGTTTTTATTATTATTACCAGAGACAGTGCACACTATTCAACACATCAGTTTCCTCCTCAATGTAAATGAGTTAGCTAATGAGCTAATTGTGTAGTCCAGTGTTACGTTATTTCAAATAGTGGCACTACTCGCTTGAGCTAAACACTGTGATACAATACAATATATAAATACAAAACAAAGTAGCAGAAAAGTATGATGGTAGGTTTGCTAAATTTGCATGTTCCAGAGTAAAAGTTTTGATGCAAGAGCCAACTCCTTTCTTTAGCTGGCCATGTTTTTGCCTGGAGGGCCTGTTTTGACCTACAGGCTGTCATTTGCCTACCACAGCACAACACTTTGTCTGAGCTCAAATACACAACCCTCCAAATCAAAGCCTCCCTGTTTTGCCTGTAACACCTTCACTTTCTCCCCTCAAGTGACATGCATAACATTAAAACCATTGCAGCTGCAGTTTACAACTTAATCCTGTGAGTCTTTAAATCCTGCACCGTATACTGTGGGCAGTGTAGCAGCCTAACACTTTGATGAATGGAACTTTTGTAGCAATTGTTTATATTATTCATTCAAATGTTAACTTCCTGATCCTGCTTTTGGATCATCATGAAAGCAAAGAAAGTCCGTAATCATTTGAATCTTAAAAAAATAATGAATAATTGATGTTGAAATTTAAAACCACTTAGTTTTAACATTGAAACATTTATTTGTACTTTTCTGACCATTGCAAATTATTTTCACATTGTCATTTTTGATCCGCTGCTGTTTTAATATCCATTTCAATCCCTTTAAATATAGATTTTCGAATTTAAGAGACTTTCATAATCTGTCTAAATTGATGAACGTACTTGTTGCAAAAGTAATTTCTGAAAATGTCAAAGTTGGGAATTGAAACCAAAACTTCTGAAAGATGTGTTTCAAAGTACATGTCAATGCTACGAATTCAGTGGTATCAAAATATCAGTAATAAAGTTTTAGTAACATTTCACAACTAGCTATTAAGTTGTTTAAACAACCCACAAATACAAATGTAGTTTCCTGTTCTTGTTTATAATTCCCCTCCTGCTTAGTTGCTGGGATTGACTTTGATTTTGACTGACTCATCTCTGACAGGGTGTGAAAAGAGCAATAAGCTTTACAGAGGGTCTGCGAGGAGGGGGTCTGACATGAGAGAGATCCTGTCTTATCTTCCCCTCCTGTAAAAGCTGAGCTCCTTCAGGAGGATGTAATTGTCCTCTCTAATGACTTGCACTTGGTAGGGGAAGACAAAGAGAGCACAATAAAGGACTTTAGAGGCCCTCCAGTAGGAATCCTTTGCTTTAAATTGCAGAGCAAATGAAACTGCCCGTTGTTTCCTCGGCTCAGGTCGAGAGTGCTCTGTCACAGACACAGAGGTGAGGCAGGACCAAAGCAGACCGAGGCGAGAACACCTGCTGGGTCCTAATTGGTCCTCGCTGCTGTTAATGGCTTCCTGTGGCTGTGTGTTTACTTCTCATTTGTTCTGTGTACTCTGTTTCCCAGCCCCAAAACAAGGGAGGCCTGCCCTCTGTCTCTGCCTGTCTGTCTGCCTCCTCTTTTCTTCTTCACTCAGAAACAAAATAAGTTGTCCTTCTCCAAGCTGCTGCACGATGACTCATACCTGAAGCCCCTCCCTAAAACCCTATTACCTGGTAGGTTTTGACCCAGCAGCAAAACACCTGACTTCAATCCAGCCCTGCCTTTGATTTATGTTTAATGCCGTTCTGAGACATTCATCAAATTGTCCCTCACAATCTCTTTCCTGAGATCTTTGACCTCCAGAGGCAGTTATCTAAGCATGGACATTTGAAAACCCACCACGACTTGGAGGACTTTTATAGGGGCATCACACTAACCGTCACCCAGTACAGCTGTATAAAAGTCTGGAGGATGTCAAGAAAAGGAGTTAAGAAACATTTTTTATATTAAAACTTTCTCTCTAGATATGTTATGGAGAAAAGCAGTAGATGTGAATTTGTAATGTGTGTTGATGTTACGACAAGAAATCAGAAAAACATCCCCATACCGCTGAAGATAGAGGACATGAAGGCCACTCCAGGAGGAGAATACCTACACTGTAATAAGTAGTGGTTACTTCATTTAATAGACCTGGGAAATAAGTTCAGGCAGATATATATATATATTTTTTAATGTATGATTATGTCTGCTGCCTTGATTGTAACCCCTGCAACATTCGGTACTTTTAGAGTAATATTTTGACTTGATTTTGTTTTTCAGATGTAAGCTTTTTTGCTTTTTTCATGAGACTTGGACGAATAGATTGACACCACACTCTCACATTTGTCTGTTAAAAATAAAGTTACAGCTAAGCCAGTTAGCGTAGCTTAGAAAATGGGAAAACAGCAAGCCTTGCTTTTGCACCTTTTTAAAACTCGCAAATTAAAATAAATACAAAAAATAGTTTGTTTAACAAGTCTAAAAGCAACAGGTTGAGATTATATGGGGTTTGAGTCACAAAATGATTCTCTAATGCTTTAAAATAAAACAACGTACAAGTCTTCAATATTTCGAACTCAGGGTATACGTGTAAAAGATACAGCTGGTGTTGGTAAGGGGCCGGCTGTCTGTAGAGGCCTCGGCTCCTAAACTGTGAGCTCTCTGGATCTCTGTTTGCTCTGCCTTTAAGAACAAACAGGGACTCCACTGGAGGCTTGTTTAGCGTGGACCCTCCTGGAGGAGAGAGCTGATTACTCACGTAGAAGTGAGATGACCAAACACAATCTGACCCTGCTGTTGTGGAGACTCGCCTACTCGGTCGGCCACTTTAACTTCCACAAACATCGTCCAGGGGGAAATGTCGTCATTATGTCCGCTACAAAAGAGATATAGCAATTGGGCCAGTGGTGTCACCTTATGCCAGCCCTGTGAGCAGATGTGGAACTGTTTGAGAAGTTCCTACTCATTTAAAGCTTTATGGGCGTCCAGGCAAACAGCACTCCATTTAGCAAAAAGTGGCAGAGATAATCGGAGAGCCTTTAAGACTTTGAGTTGTATTGTGGTTCCACTCATCGCTAGTTATACAAGCATTATACTGGTATTAAGAATAATCTACTACTTAAGCTTCAGTTTGAAGATAGAAGACTGGAGGTTTTGTTTATTCTGCAGCTAATCATCTTTTAGTTTATACACCTGAACCTCTACTAATTTCTTTCAGGACTTTTACTTCAATTGACACTTCCCGCTCAATTTATTGTTGAATATTGATCAACATTACAACTTGAACTTCAGTGTTTTACTTTTGTAGCACCCTAACCCTAAACTTCACTTGGCACTAACACTTGTATGACACTTTGACGTTGAAACCTACCTTTCTTTCAGCACCTCCATTTTAACTGCTAATTCCACTTCTCTCAGTAACTCTAGGTAAATTGCCTCTTCAACTACTGTTTCGGTATTATAACTATATCAAGTATTTAAAATCTAATATTTCAATAGAGAGTAAAGTGTTAAGTATTTTCTGTTTAAATGTATTTTAAGATGGGCAATACGTATGGAATTAGAAGCACTTTGATTGATTTATTCCAGAAAACTCTCAAATGCCTATCTCTTTCTCTAGTTCTGCTGTCGTACCTTTTTTTTCCTAACACAAAAGAATGCGATTAACATGGGTGCTGATCATTTTAACCACACATTTGACAAATTATAATCTATGAGTGTTTTTGCTTTAAATCTAAAGAAGGTAACTACCAAGGCATGTTGTTCGGATCGCCATTACATGTAGGCACCTGCTCGTATCACCCTCGGTGTCCCTTGTGTTTACATGTTGTGAATGTATAACAGACCGGTGTCGGCCACGGTCACCCTTGTTGTTAATTGGGGCTGAATTCTGTTTAGTATGAGCATGTATGATGTTAGTAAGAGGCTGTCAGCGTCAAACAGCTCATTGGCTTGCGGACATTAGACTCTTGGTAAGAAGACGAGTGAAGGCTTACGCTGACAAGTCCTCCATCAGTGTGAAATCTCACCACACCACGGACAAACATGGCGAGACAGCGGCCCTCCCTGCGCCCCCAACCTCTCTGTGCTATAGGCACATTCCCCACATCCATAAGAAATACCCAAAATAAAAGCAATTAGAGCTGAAGACAATATATGGAGTCGGCAAAGTCCTTGTTTATGTTTGAGCCAATTCATCCAATCTGTCCTGCGTTGGTTACTATTTATATGTTTATTATTAGCTGCTATGATTTATTGGACAGTTTGCTATCTTTGTGGCCATCTGGTCATGGTCTCTTCAACATGTTGAATTTCACAAGTATGCATTACAGGCCTACAAAATTAAATTGACCAGAACATACCGTGTCTATTACTATAGTTGACTGCGATGAGTGGAAAATGCACAGAAGCCTGGGCTGGTCTAGTTGCATCTAATTTTGTAGGATCATCATAGTCAACCTTTTTGATGAGTTATCATTTACGCCACTGCATTGTTGGGCTTTTAACATGTCATCACTAATATTGTTCATATATGAGTGCACAGGTCCACATCCTCATTCCTCCACCCGCCTCAGGGTTTGTATAGATCTGTTACCTGCTGCACCGTGCTGTGAGTAAACGCTGCCTTGCTCAGGAGTCCTCCCTGAAGCCAGTTTGCACCCAGCAGACAAAGTGTGTTGTCACCCGAGTGCGCAGTGTTATTGGGTGTGAGCTGCACCACACTATAGATACTCTTGAGAAGTAGCACACCATTAGGAATATATTAACAACCCAACATTTTGTGTGCAGGTCACACATCCCAGCTGTAAGCAAGTTGACCAGATTACAGTATGTTTGAACACAGTTTTGCCTCAATCATTATTTATTGTAAATGTGATTTCTTTTTGATGGCCTTTTGTTATTAAAATTAGCTGATTTCTGCATGTGTGTGTGTTTGGGTCTCCAGGATATTAGAGCATGAGTCTGGATCAGGAGAGGGTTTTGCGGAGCTGATCTTTGGTGGCAGCCAGGAGAAGGAGCAAACTGAGCAAATGTTTCCCAAGGTTAGGGTAAAAACCACAGGGGCAGCAACCCCACTTAACAAGGGCAGAGAGGGGTAAACACACCTGGAGCAGTGACCACCCTCCTCAACCAACACACAAAGAATACACTAAACAGAAAGATAGGCCTATTACTGTTTAGTTTAGTAATTATATATTTTCATATTTTTGCATCCAACTTAGATTTAATTTTCCGGCTACTCTATTTACTCCCAGCATGTGTATAGCTGCAGAGAAGTTACAGCCAGGATTTGCTTATCTTAGCTTAGCATTAAAGGTGGGGTAGGTAATTTTGGAGAAACCAGCTCGAGTGCGCTAAAATTTGAAAATACACAACCGGAGAAAATCTGCCACTTCCTTATAGAGCCCCTCCTCCAACACACACGAACACGCACATGACCAATGAGGGCACGAGATAAGTTTGTGCACAGATGGAAGGCTGACAGGCAGGTAGGCCATCCAGTTATTTTAGCCGGGCCAGCTAAAATGATTGGTCGTGCTTTTTACAGTACTACGGCTTCCACAGATGACATTTTTTAATGGATTTTTTGTCAAAGCACTTAAGATATTCATTGCTATCGGGATGTTAAGAGCATTCCATGGAATATAACAAAAAGTGTATCTCGAGCCGGTTTCTCAAACTTACCTACCCCACCTTTAAGACTATCAAAAAGTAACAAATTCCACCTACCAGTAGGCCTTCCCCTAAAACACACTGACTAACATGTTAAATCTTGTTTTGAAGTGTAAAATGTATTATTTAATGAGATGTCTTTATAACCACATGACCCAGGCTAGCTGTGTATTCATGTTTCTAGTCTTTATGCTTCATCAGAATATAATTGTGGCTTGTGTCACAGAAAAGGCTCACCATGCCTTTAACCCAGAAGACTAAGCAAAATACTTCTTAATTTTATTGATTAAATTAAATTCTAATCATTAGGTAGAAAAACCTAGATTTTCATATTATATTCGTATAAGATATTTTAAACTCTACAGAGATCAGGAGAGAGGCTGGGAAAAAGTGAGAGCATTAGAGACGAGGTTATGCTCAGGTGCTGAGATGAGCATAATGGACAAGCACGCAGGACTCATTTTCTCTCACCTTTGTGTCAAAACGGGCCTGAGCAAACAGAGGATGAGCCTGGCTGGAGGGAGAGCAGGCGAAGGCAAACAGTGGTCAGACAGGACTGGTGAAAGCCAACAGCGAGCAGGAGCATTAACTCACTGCTGCTCTGTGCTGACATCTCAGACCCTCCACTGTAGGAGAGGCCGGAGACCCCAACCCTTTAGCTCACAATCTGGGGTTTAGGTCTTAATGTTTGTGAGTTACCAACACTATGTATGTGTGGGAACTGTGGTGACGTCAGGCCACAACCACCGCCTCAAAATAATATGCAATTGAAGGGAAATAATTGAATTCCCTGCAAAATACTATCTTTATTTTCAACCTTATACAAGAAAGTCAACTTGTTCAACTGTATGATCATGTTTGAAGTCACATTTTGTTTTTCATTTGATCGTTTTATATTATATTGCCTTGTTCTTTAATTATTTAATCAATATGTGATAAGTAAATAAGAGTGTTTTCTGCACTCAAGCAATCAAATTATGTTATTGTTATTTTAGAGTAGTCTAAAAGTTGCCCCATGATTTCCCTTCATTGCATTAGTGAAAATCAGCTTGAAACGAGCCTTACACTTTGAGAATCAAAAGAAATCTTGATTTCTTAAATAGATCTACAATGATAAACAACATTATCATTCAAAGTAAGTGAGATCAAAATGACGTCAAAACGTAAGCACATTTGTGTCTTATGATGTTGATCCTCAATACCTAGTGTATGAAATGTAAATCAGTGGTGATCTCAAAGGTAAGTATACCAGATACCCAAAAATGGTTATCAGTAAAGTAAATTGATTTGTAGTGAAAGGGTTCAAACGTGAGAAAACACTGGTATAGTCTTTTAAGTTTTAAAAAGAAGTAAAACTAAATGAATTCAGGTTTGAATGCAGTCTGCAGTTTATTAAGCCTTTTGAGGATAGGGGGGCTGGGATAGGGGATCTACTATAGAGCACCATATAGATCAATAACATTAATTCACAGTGCTCAGGACAACAACAAAAACAGGAAGTAGCCAAGTGCGACAGTTAGCGCTGAGTGGGGTGTTGGAGGAGGAGTGAGAGGCGCCAAACGGGACACTAGGACTGTGGGAAATGACACTGGCTATGACACCTATGAATTTTACACCGTAGTTACCTCAGCTCGTATACAGGGGGATGTCTCTTTTAAAATTACAAAATGATTAATGGAAAAGGAAATGATAGATGAATGCAATATGTGCCACCCACAGATGAAAGCCCCCACATTTGCAACCCTACAGCGTAACTTTATGAGGAACTTTGAGAGCAAGATGCCTGATTTGGTATTTGGATTTTAAATGTGCTTCTTTAGGTAAGAGTGTATGGCAGCTGAGCAAAGAGGGAACTACTTTCACAGATTACCCCTGAGATTCCTGAGAAGAGCAAGAAAGCAGAGATTTACTTGAGACAGCTTAGACATATGCATGATCTTTGTTGGACCAACATGGCTTTCTCCCAAAGTAATTTAGCAAACAGGAAGAAACATTAAGGAAAATGTGCACTGACACGGATACTTAAAGTTACGTTCTAGCAACCTTTATCAGTGAGGAGGAGACATCAGAAGTGTATTGAAGGAGGCTTTAACTGCTCTTTAAACTGAGTGAGGTTTGTTTTTCTCTGCTGGCTGTGAACTGTGGTCCAGACTGCTGGACAGGGAGACAGACTCTCTGAGCTGGCAGGAGGAGCGAGGCAACCAAGATTTGGTTAGTAACACAAACCAGCCACAACACAACACAACACCCCAGAACTCTATGGAAGCTAACACGTAGCTGTCACACAATATCTGCCTTTAACGTTTGTTTTTATCCTTTCCAAGCCACCATGGCAACAGGTCACACTGAATAAATTTACCAGAATACAGTAGTTATTTGTGAGCATGACACTGTAGTACCTCATGACTGAATGTAAATCAGTTGATATGGATTGAGTGATCAGTGAGAGATTTGTTTTCCTTTCTTTCATAGACGCTTCCAAGTGTTGACTCCAAACAAGGGAAGACGAGCCAAACCAACCAGGCGCCTCTCTGCTCTCCAAAACAGCAAAGCAGTGTCCGGAAAGACCGGCCCTCTTGTTCCCCACCTCTGAGCAGAATGACCTCAGCCAGGTGCATAAAAACAAACACCTTTCATATTTATTTATTGGAGAATAATGCCTGATTTTTCAGCGTGTGTTTTCTTGGCAGACATCCATGTCTTGAGACTCTGGTTTGGGACACAGCAACATGCTGTCGGAAAACACCTGATCCCTTATCCATTGAAGACGTGTGTGAACAAGAGCATGTAGAGGTACAATTATTCCTCAGATAAATTAAATTAGAGTAACAATTGTATTGTTTTTTTAAATTGGTTTTGTTTTCTTCTTTCTCTTTAGATAATTGACTGTGGATTTAAGCTATGGAGGAACTATAAGGTCAACCCAGATCACTGAAGATAAAGCAATTATCTCTGTAGAGAAAATGTGCAAATATGAGTGTGTCAGTTCATATGGCAATTCTACAAAACAACATTACTATATTAAATGATTTTGATATGTCAATTGTTGATTTTCTTCTATAATGATGGTAGTGTCCTTATTCATTGGGTTTGCTGAAATATAAAAGTTATACTATAATGACGTTCGTTCTTCTGTGAGACTGGGTTGAACCAGTTCAATTGTTATAAGAATTGCTGTTAAAATTATGAAGTTTCACTGCTGGCAATTTGTTCTTTTAAGTGACACACAATTGTTCACGATTTAGTAAATGTAATTTAGTCAATTTTTCCAACTATGTTTTATTTTTGTCAATTCATAATACTAGAGGAACTTTGACTTGTTGATACTTAGTTGTCACCCACTTACACAGGAGTGAAACAGTTCCAGGTTTAGCAACATTTATATATTTAAAGTAATCTGGGGTAAATTCTGATCCTTTAGGGACAAAGAGCAGCTCAGCACACAGTGGCTGTGCTTTCTGCAGGTGTGGCTTTGATCTAAGTGTCAATGTTTACAGGTTGATGTAATAAAGAAGGTTAAACTGCTTTATTCAAAATCCTGTAGTCCTCAATGTATGGCCCTCTCAGCCAATCCCTGGCAAGCCCGCAAAGATCAAAGAGGAGAGGAGCCAACCATGTCCGCCCCAAACACCCATCCCGAGCCTGGCTTCACACTATATATCTGGGAGCTGTCGATGAAGTCCAGAGACCTGAGATAACTGAGTGTGGAGACGCAGGAACAAGAGAGATATTTCGGTTTTTTAAATAAGACCTGTGATTACATACATTCAGCCCTGGAGCTGTTGGACAGGATGGCCTCCGGCGAGTGTCCCGAGAAGGCCAGTCAGAGCCGGGTGGACCATCTCCTCAGCGCCGTGGAGAGTGAGCTGCAGGCCGGCAGCGAGAAGGGAGACCCCACGGAAAAGGAACTCAGCGTGTCCCTGGATGAGAAGACGCTTTGGCAGAAGTTTAAAGAACTTATAAATGAAATGATAGTTACAAAGAATGGCAGGTAAGCTTGAGTGCAAACAATTAAATGTTTAACTAACAAAGCAACCCTATTTAAAAAACAATCTAATTGTCATAATGTCTATCAAGGCGGATGTTTCCGGTGCTGAAAGTGAACATATCTGGATTGGATCCGAACGCCATGTATTCAGTTTTGCTGGACTTTGTGTCTGCGGACAACCACAGGTGGAAGTACGTGAACGGGGAGTGGGTCCCTGGGGGCAAACCTGAACCCCAGACCCCCAGCTGCGTGTACATCCACCCGGACTCTCCAAACTTCGGGGCACACTGGATGAAAGCGCCCGTCTCTTTTAGTAAAGTCAAACTCACTAATAAACTGAACGGAGGAGGTCAGGTGAGCAGATCATTTTCAATGTAGTACTTTCGTTTGTTTTTCTTCAGATACAAACCAAATTGTGATTCCTAAAATGTACTTATTTTCATATAAATACAAATTGAAATAAATGTGAAAGACAATAACCATTTTTCTGTATGTCTTTGGTTTTCCAGATAATGTTAAATTCATTACATAAGTACGAGCCACGCATGCATATAGTGCGGGTTGGAGGCCCGAGGAGAATGATCACGAGCCACGCTTTCCCAGAGACGCAGTTCATTGCAGTAACGGCTTACCAAAACGAGGAGGTGGGCAATTTAATTATGTTTAAATCAAAAACACATTGAACACTTATATA